CTCTAACGGATTCTAGTAGTGGCAAGAATTTGGTATTCTTACACTTGTGATAAGGATTTGGAATTGTGAAGTGAGCATCATTGGAAATGTGTTCAATTGATCTGTATCACAAAGGAAGGACCATAGATAAACATAGTATGCGTCCTTGGAGCATGGCATGACTGTTGTATTAGTTCAAGTATTAAGTTGATTACTTGAAACATCATACAATGAATAAAGCCTGATTAACATGATGATTAAATAATAAGTGTTTTATTTATATTCAATTGTTTGAGACCATATTTAATTAGGTTATTATTGTGTTTCATTTCGCATGTTTTACTTCCCGAATAAATGGGTTATTCAAACATCCACAATCGATCATACTTTGGAAGTAAGTAGTGAATTAAGATTGTCATGAATCTAACTGTAGATTGTCTAAAAGCTTAGACATAGCACTAGTTTGTTGCAGTGTTCATGAGTACTAGTGAAATAGGAATTTGAGTATTGGATTAACCCACACTCAGAGAATTACTTCATGGATTTTATCATGAGTAATTTTGAGACGATAATATCTTATATTCTTCAAACGGAGATATATGAGTTGTTGTTTACGAGTCGGTTGTGCATTGAACCTTCAAGACTTACTGCTATAAGTTCTGAAATGGTTTAGACACATACATAAGCTATCTAATGAAGGTGTATGAGCTTGATAAGTCTAGATAAAGACTTATCAAAGCACCAAATGTCAGAAATCTGAACTTTGGTAAGAAAGTCAATAGGTATTGATTTCTAAAAATCCATTTCATTTCTAGGTACATGTCAAAGCTAGTGGGAGCATAATTGTTATGCTGGTAAGAACATAATTGTCAAACTAGTGGGAGCGTGATTATTATGTTAAGTGTTGCAAGTTAGCAATGTTGTTTATAGGAAACAAAGTTCTAAATTTGCAAAGTTGCAGAATTTGGAAATTGTTTCGCTATAGTACAATTTTAAGGGAGGGAACATTAATACTTCATTTCGAATCTAAAAGCTTAGATTGAAATTTTAACTAAACTTAGTCATGAACATATATGAATATCATTTGTTGAAATGATTCAACACATGAAATTTGATATATGGAAATATTATAGCAAGAGATTGGTCAAGTATCATGTCTTTATGTAAGACATTATGAATCGTATCCCACATACTTCGGGTATAGGATCGATTGCATATGCTATAATATTCGTCTGTTCTGATTTTTCCAACTGCCTAGCACGTTAAGAGAAAAAAATGACCAGAACTTGACATGACTAAAGCTGTTAAACAACTGTCAAGGACAATCTGAGGTTTAGTGAAGATTAGTTGCTTGTAGACAGTTGGAAGTATAGTAATGGATGGGCCATATTGATATAATTTTGAATAGATGGGATTCTAATAAGAATGGATAGTCATATGGCAATTATGGAAATGTTTCCAAAATGGGAGTTGGATATTAAGAATCTATGTGTAAGTTAGAAACTTTTATGCACGAATGATGTTCAAGGAATGTACCTTGAATGTGAGACTTCATCTCCATGGAATTATTCTGTAAAAAATATCCAGTGGGATGTTTTGTAATATCACTGACAAAGTCTTTGTGACTTTCGTGCCTTGACATTGCAAAAGGATCATTGCATATAAGTTTAGACTCTAACACATTTAGAAGTGGCAAAGTTTGGTATTATTACACTTATAATAAGGTTTTGGGATTGTGAAATGAGCATCATTGGAATTGTTTTCAATTAATCTATTTCACAAAAGAATGACCATAGATAAACATAGTATGTGTGCTTGGAGCATGGCATGACTATTGTTTTAATTCAAGTATTAAGTTGATTACTCGAAACATTATACAATGAATAAGGTCTAATTAATATGGTGATTAAATAAAGGGATTTATTTATATTCAAAAGTTTTGAGACCATATTGGATTAGGTTATTCTTGTGTTTCACTTCGCATGTTTTACTTCCCGGATAACTAGGTTATTCAAACATCTACAGTCGATCATACTTTTGGAAGTAAGTAGTGAATTAAGACTGTCATGAATCAGACTGTAGATTGTCTAAGAGCTTAGACATGGCACAAGTTTGCTGCAGTGATCACGAGTACTCCTGAAATAGGAATTTGAGTATTGGATCAACCCACGCTCAGTGAATTACTTCATGTATTTTATCACGAGTGATTTTGAGACGATAATATTTTATATTCTTGAAACGGAGACATATGAGTTGTTGTTTACGAGTTGGTCGTGCATTGATAATATGTAAACTCATCAGTAACTTGATGTTATAAAACGTATTGTTGTGTGTGATTTGATGAGTAAATAGTACACGCATATGAGTCAAAGTTTATCCGTTCCTTTTACCCTTAATGGGATAAAAGCGATATTTATGGGCCCCTCGAGGATTTAGTAATGACACCCTAAGCGCTTGGCCAAGCCTGGACTAAGTTAATATGTTCAATTGTAGTCTGAGTCGGTCGTCGTGAATCGGAAATCGGGAAACAAACTTTGGACTGAGAGAATGATTACAATCCTTGTCTCATGTCCATACGATATCTTGTAGAATGGTGGAATACTTGATCACTTATCTAAGGACAAGTCACTGACTAGGTCAAAGTTCGACAGCGACTTTTGGTAGCTAAAATTTGCTTGTCGGTTTTTGAAGTTATACTTGCAACTATAGTTATTAGACTTATCCAAGTGGGAGACTGTTGGATTAGGTGTCTAAGCCCATAACTATAATCGGTATGCACTTGAATTGATAGTAGCAATGTCCTTTTGGGTTGCCTTCAAACCTGGCAATTGAATAGGATAACTGTTAGAGAGAGAAGAATGATTTATTAATTTATTAATTGGTTCATAAATTAATTTTAAATCAAGATAAATGATTTATTAATGTATTATGGATATAATAAATTAACTAGAAATCATATTGTTTAATTAATATTTAATTAGAAATTAATTTGGAATTAATTTTGGGATTAAAGGAATCAATTGAAACTGCAGGGACTAAAGGCGACAATGTTCAATAGTTCAGCATTGAGCATTCTAGAACCTCCCTAAAGGAGGGGATGAATTCTAGGGTGTTCCTAGGGTTTCCTTGGGCTCTAAGGGTGCCTTGGATGTCTTAGGGAGGAAGTTAAGGGATTAGGGTTATCCTAGATACATCTGCCTTATCCAATACCTTCCTAACACCTATATAAACCCTTTACCATAAGGAATTTTCGTCCATGCTCTTAAGATAATCCTTTTGGATGAAATTTTCTTCTCTTCTCTCTCTCAAAAGTGATCCTTAGTTTCTAGGTTTGTTTGTGAGTCATTAGAGGCGCGACACTTGTGGCGCTTGCTACCAAAGTTCAAGATCTTCAAGGATTTGATTGTTATTACAATATAGCAATTAAGGTATGTATCCTAACCCTAATTATATGTTAATTTCAAAAATAACATGTGCCTCCTAGGGTTTCTAGTTTTTGTGTTCAATGTTTGTATATCTAATAGTGAAAACATAGATCCTAAAATTAGGGTTGCATGCACACATATGATTGTTTGCTATGTATAAAACTCGTCACTTATACCTCTGTTAACCACCAGAAATCAGTTTGATCGAACCAAGGAGGGAAAAGAAAAAATCTAGTGATTAATCGATCTAGAGAAGAAGGAAGGCTGCTAATTAATTTTTGAGCAGGGAAAAGGAACGTCAAGAGAGGTTGCATTTGTTTTTGTGTAATCGATTTTTAGACAAGAAGGAACAAATGTAGTGTAGAGTAGAGATCAATTTTAAGGAAGAAAAAGGGGGTTGCGTTTCTTGGAGGGATACCGATTGAGTATGAATCGGTTTTTAGAAGAAAGGAGTGAGAGCAAGAAGGTCAATGTTGCTGGACGAGAAAGGGGGTTGCGTTTTTCCGTTATCAACCTCTTCTCCGGCCACCATTGCCTCTGTCAATGGCATCCTCGTTTCCTTTGTTCCTCTACATCTCCGGCAGCAGCATAGTTGCAGCCTTCCATCGTTTTTCCCTCACTCGATCTTTATTCTCTTCCCCCATTTAATCAGTTGTCCCTATTTTCTTTCCATCTTCGATCCATCAGCAAAAAGGAGGGGGAAATAAGGGTTTGGAGGTGGGTCACGATGCAGGAGAGGTTGAGAGTTGAAGGAAGGAGAGATGTACCTAGGTTTAGTGTGCATTGTGGGGGACGTTTCCAACAGGATGGAAAAATAGGGGGTGTGGTTTGGAGAAGACGATGAATAGAAGTTGTGTGTGTGTGTGTATGTGTTTAAAAGAGAGATAGAGGGGGGGGGGGGAGGAGGGGGGGGGGGTACGACGAAATGGGGATAGGGTGAGTTTTCTTATTTTTTTAATTATCAAAATATTAAAATAAAGGCTGAAACATAAAAAGAATATAAAAAACAAATTAAAAGGGTATAATAGTCATTTTAAGTTTGATAGGGACCATATCCACAAAAAAGATCCGATTTTAGACCGATGGTGCATGTTGAAAATATTTTGGACTCTATCTACTTTCTTTTTATAACCACAGGGACCAAACTTGCAGTTTTGTCTTAACAATTTCACATTTCCTAACTTATGAGTTTAAATCTAGACAAAATTGCAAGAATGGTCCCTGTGGTTAGGTCGAAATTGCCACTTTGGGCCAAACAAGTTTGGACAAGCATTAATGGTCCAAATGTTTTCATTTTCTTGCCACTTTAGTCCAATTTACTATAAACTTTTTCGTAATGACAATTTTGCCCTTGGTTTTTACCTTTTCAATGTTTTTTATTTATTTAAACAGTTTTATAATTAAAAGAAAAATAAAAAATTAAATACATCTCTCTTTCCCCTTCTATTGCCCAACACCAATCAACATCGCCTCCACCGGCAACCCCTAGCAGCACCACCGGTTACCACCACCACCACCCTCGATTTTCAGGTAAACACCACCATCACTAGTCAACACTTCACTCTCCTTAATGATGAAATCCCTCTCTTTCTCGTGATGAACCACCGTCGGGCGACTATATCATCTTGCCGGAACCGCCAACGTCATCATCACTATCGCCATACCGTCAACCACCACCGCCACAGTTCAACACCACCACCACCTCATGGACACCCCCGATTTTCTGATCTAAACACTCTGATTTTCCAATATGAAGACCCCGAATTTTCCGATCTGAAAACCCCCAATTTTCCGATCAGAAAACCCTCGATTTTCCGATCAGAAAACCTCCACCATTGTTTAGGAACCCTAACTCTAGACAAACGATATGACGAAGTAGGGAAACCCTAAGCGGCCGATTGGAGCGTCAGCGCTAGGGTTTATGAATCTCGTAGCTCATACCATCGTTATAGAAGGATATAGATGAAGAGAGAAGAAGGTGAAGCTAGCATTTCTGAAAACGCGAATTCTGGAGCTAGGGTGTCTTACATGTGGTGGCGGTGGCGGATGCGAAATGAATAACATCGACAATCATCGGTGTTTGTTGACGACGATGTGTTGATCCAAGACGGTAGAGGAGGTGACGAGTTCGACCAGATCTTCGTCATCTTTCCAGGTCTGACGCGAAGGTGTTGCACCAGACAACAGGTGGCGGGAGGATGGTGGTGCTCCGACGAAAATGGCGGACCCTTCTGGTTTGCTGTCAAAAAACATCTCCGGCGAGGAATCCTCTCGTTGCCAGAAACCTCGGTCACCAGCAAAGCCACCAGAATCTGGTGGTGTTTCAATTGTCTTAATGGGAGAGAGAAAGAGAGGGGATGGGGTGATAATACAAATAGATTTTTCTTTTTTCTTTTCTTTTTAGTTATTGTAATTATAAAAAATAGAAAATAAAAATATAAAGGGCAAAATCGTCATTTTATAAAAATTCAAAAGAAATTGGACCAAAATGGAAAGAAAATGAAAACCTTTGGACCATGAATGTTATTCCAAACCTATTTGGCCCAAAGTGGCAATTTCGACCTAACCACAACTAGTAAAATAAATCAATACTAGTAAAATAAATCAATACTAATCCAACTAGTATGCTAGTGTATACAACTAGTAAAATAAATCAATACTAATCCAAATGCACAAATAATTGGGGTATTATATTGCTTTTAAATCCAAACCAAACAAATACATAAAGACTAAACTGCACAAATGGTCCCTGTGGTTTGCTCAAAATTGCCACTTTGGTCCAAAAAAGTTTGGACTAGCACCAGAGGTCCAAAGTTTTCATTTTGTTGCTTGTTTGGTCCAATCAATTCTGATTTTTTTCAAAATGACGGATTTCCCCCTGTTAATATGATTTTCTCTTTTTTCTTAATTGTTTTTCTGATTTTCAGATTTAAAAAAAAATAAAAAAATAAAAAATAAAATTAAATCTCTCTCTCTCTCTCTCTCTCTCTCTCTCTCCCTATTCTCTCTCTCTCTCTCTCACACACACACACACTCTCCATTACAAACCACCACCAGAAAAAATGGCATCACCGTCGCCACCACATCTCACTCATTATTCGTCTTCATCTTCCTCACCTCCGTCGAAGCTAGTTGAGCTTGATATCTCACAGAACCTGTTCGTCGGAAAGGTGCATCGGAGACATTGATTTATAAAAGGGAAATAAAGGGATTTAGGTTTACCTATGGAAAATTGAGTAAGATATGGTGCTAGTTTCTCACAATTTCTGCCATTGGAATCCATAGCAACTGTAATCCCAACTAGCTCGATAGCTTCCACCCATTCCCCCGTTGATCCATCGAGAATGGGAACGTGTAATTGCATATGAAACCAATCAATCTAATTGAAGATTTCTATAACGTCAAGATAAACACACACACACACACAAATACCACACAATCGAAGATTTGGTTATGAGTTTACAAACCCAGAAATTTGCAGAAAATCAAAGAGAAAGAAATATGTAGAAAATCTAACCTAAACGTATGCATCATGTACATCCTTTCAAGATCCAGTTTTATATTCATGATGTTTTCAAGAAAACTCTCGTGTTTGCAGCAGATGCACAATCTCACCGGTACTCTCTCCTCCGATTAGGGCTTGAAACGATTTCGACTTCATAACTTTGGGTTGTGTTATTTCTGATTTGGGTTTTAACCTAACATAAAATACAGAGGAGGGAGAATGTAGAAGTGACATTTGAAAGGAGGAGGGAGAATATAGGGGTGACCATGGTTGATGGTGGATCTATGCATCGTTCTTCGACAGGGCTATAGAGGACCGATGATACTTCAATCACTTTGTTGAAGGTATGAGGGCTCAAACTCGATTTCTTAGGTTTGATTTTGGATTTTAGAAATATGTCAATGAAGGTGATGAAGATGAAACGCAGTAGAAGATGGGTGGTCAATTTTTTGCGAGGATATCTCTGATTTAGATGAACCCATCTTTTCTGGTGGTGGTTTGTAATGGAGAGAGAGAGAGAGATGAGAGAGAGATTTAATTTTGTTTTTTTATTTTTTTGAAATCTGAAAATCAGAAAAACAATTAAGAAAAAAGAGAAAATCATATTAACAGGGGAAAATCCGTCATTTTGAAAAAAAAAATCAGAATTGATTGGACCAAACAAGCAACAAAATCAAAACTTTGGACCTCTGGTGCAAGTCCAAACTTTTTTGGACCAAAATGGCAATTTTGAGCAAACCACAGGGACTATTTGTGCAGTTTAGTCATACATAAATAATTAAACTAATACATACACAAACACATGTATGATAATAAATCATATTATCAACAAAATACATATGGAAAATTATTAATTACAAATTATACACACAAATGCATACCCAATTAAAACATATTACATAATAAAACAAATACATAATACAAATTACAAAATAAAACTTATACCCTTTACACTTAAAATACTGAAACAAATACATAATACAAATTACAAAAATAAAACTTATACCCTTTACACTTAAAATGACTGATCATTTATGATTTAAGGCTTGTTTTGCCCAAGTAAACACTCAGAGATTGAGTCTTACACTCCAACCTTTTCCTTCCCACGTTTCTTTGCTTCTCCCTCACTACATCTCACAGGTACGGACGTATGGTGGTATTGTTCTACACATCAACTAATAAATTGGTTCACAAACAATCAACACACAATCAAAACTGAAAACAACACTCAAACACTCCCATAGCTCTTTCCTTTTGCACTGATTCCTGTCAAGAACACGAGAATTGTTCTTGTTCTCGGGTATACCTGCAAACAAAAAAAAGCAACAAAACGTTTTTGTTTCCTTTCCTTCGCTGTCAAACATACAAACCAAACATACCAGTTAATCCATCGACCAGTCAACAAGAAAAAAAGAACGAAGAAGAAGAACAGGGGAGGCTGCCAGAGCAGACCCCACATCCATTACGTGCAATAGTCGGAGGAAGGCTGTTCCTCTCCCTTTTTGCTCGTCGATCACCACCGAGACCAAATCCCTATCCCCTTTTCCTTCTCTTCGGTCCCATCGGGACCCTTTCTTCCCACTGATCGAACCCCGTCGTTCCCACATCTCCATCTTCCGTCGAGCACAACCCCAAACATCCCTTGATCGACGCCTTTTAACGCCCTTCACGACTAGCCCAAGGACCGAGACCTCCTTTACCCTCGCTTCTCACTCCCTTTCGCCAACCCCACAGCAGCGTCGCTGCTTCTGCCCATGTTCTTCTTCAGTCTAGTCGACCACCGGAGCTCACCACTCAGGTTGGATTAGTGTCCAAGGCTGTAACTATATTTGGTAAGTACTTGACCCGGTTGTACATGGTCCTTTTGGGTTGCCTTCACCATAGCAACTTGACAGGGTGATTTATGAAGAGAGAGGTGATATTATTATATTAATATATTATGAGAATAATATATTAAAGGAATAATAATACTATTTGATTAATATTAGTCATGGATTAATTAAGAATTAAATGACTAAAAGAAGTTAATTGAATAAAGGGGCTTAAACTGTCAAATGTGTGATAGTTGTGTTTTTGGGCTATGAATCCTTATGGATATTAGGGTGGCCGACTTTTAGGTTAGGATATCTTAAATTTCGTCCAAGCCTCATATCTAGAAGGATCCTTGGATTGCTTAGGGCCTAAGTTATTCAATTAGGGTTAAGGATGTACCCTAGTAGCTCATAGTATAAATAGACCCCATGGTGGGGAAAATCGGCCACTCTTGTTAGATTGAAATCCTAGAGCCGATTTTTCTCACCTCTCTCCTCTCTCCAAATCATCCTCTTGCTAGTTGGTGTTTGTAAGCCATTAGAGGAGTGACAATTGTGACTCTAAGCTCCAAGAACAAGAAGATTCAAGCAAGCAACTTAAGGTATTCTTCTAGATCTGATTACATGTGTTATGATTCAATTGTTATCTCTAGATCTAGCTGTAACACCCAAAAATTCAAGCCAAATTTAAACTTTCAAAACATGTCGAATTTATCAAAACATTACAACTTTGTTTTCAAAATACATTTATATCAAGTTTTCCCAAAACATAACATAATAGGAGGAGCTGTACGATCATGCCTTCGCTTGCCGCGATCCCCTGATGTACCTGAAACAATAAACTGAAACTGTAAGCCCGAAAGCTTAGTGAGTTACCCCCAAAATACCGATACACATACAGTCCACATAACCATGTCACACCATGACATATCATAACAAACTGAGCAGAACAGCACATAACGGGTCCACAGCTATACAGACTGGAATACCCCTGGGCCCACAGTGTGAGTCTGGAATGCCTACCGGGCCCTCAGCTCACATCTGGATTGCCACCGAGCCCTCAGTACGAGTCTGGAATGCCTACCGGGCCCTCAGCTCGTATCTGGAATGCCATCGAGCCCTCAGTACGAGTCTGGAATGCCTACCGGCCCTCAGCTCGTATCTGGAATGCTCCAAGTCCTCAGTATGAGTCTGGAATGCCTATCGGGCCCTCAGCTCATATCTGGAATACTCTAGGGTTGTTGGCTACCGCACGGAGCAGTACAACCTCAACCCATCCCACATAACATATCACATGTAACAGATAATGCACATACAGACAATCAATCAGTATCACAGGTAGTCCTACAGACCTACCCTCTAGCGTATCAAACTAGCATGCATACTAACTCATACTCAACATAATACAACTACTAGGATATCATATCCAATGGGCCGGCCTTGGTGCCTTAGACCCCTTAGTATAGTGAGGATAACTCACCTCGCAACTGTCGTCGGAAATAAGAAGGCTCAACTCCTGGGTCCAACACGAACTTCACCACCTATAGGTACCATACAAACCTTTTTCATAAATCTCCCAATTACCAGAAACCATCAGAAGTCAACTGGTCAACCCTTGGTCCAAGTCAAAGTCCACAGTCAAAGTCAACAGTCTATGTTGACTCGACTCGTCGAGTGCAGATCACCGACTCGTCGAGTCCTTCCTGAACTCGAGAAGTCGTGAAATCCTTGATTGGCTCGTCGAGTTCCCTTTTTAACTCGTCGAGTTCATACGTGGCCAAGATTTGGAAGAAACCCTAGCCAACTCGCTGAGTCTTCTAACAACTCGCCGAGTTCAAGGCAATCTTCAACGAACTCGTCGAGTTGCTCAACCAACTCGCCGAGTTCACGGCTATGTTCATAGGACTCGCCGAGTCCAGCGTTCTACTCGCCGAGTTCATTCAGTCCTTTTTCCATACAGACCTGGTTTGAGCCATGCAGCGGCTCCAAACCACAGATCTAGGCTTCTAGGGCATGCTTATCACGTAAAGTTGCAAACTTTACATGCATGCATAGCTTTAAGGGCTCCAAATGTCAAAACTAAGCTCTTAATGGGGTTCTAAGCTCAAGAGGGACCTCAATCACGAACATAACTAAGACTTTACAACTCTAGAAGGTAATGAGGGTCCAGATCTGAAGTATAGCCCAACCATAAGGTTTCTCTACCAAGGATTTGGGGTTTTAGGGCTTAAAAGCACAATTTAGGGACAAACAGATCTAATAGATCAATAATCAAGATGGAAACTTTATTACCAGAATGGGTGACCACAAATGAATGTGTTCTGGATCTAAGTCCCCCTTCCTTGAGCTCTTCAACCCCTTCCTTCTTCCACTTGCTCCAATGTGCACCAAAAGTCCCTTCACAAGGCAACAATCACTCAAACTCACCAATGGAGACTAGGGTTTCGATAAGGAATGCTCTGAGGGTGATGGAGGCTGAGATGGGGCTATAAGGACGTTTAAATAGGGTGCAAACCCTAAGGATTAGGGTTTCCTCCTGACTGGCCTACTCGCCGAGTCCAGGAGTGGACTCGCCGAGTAGATCACTTAAAGCCGCCGCGTCCAATTCGACATCTACTCGGCGAGTTAGGGCTACAACTCGCCCGAGTAGCTCTTACAAAAAGAAACATTTAATCAAATTAAATACGTACCAGGAACGGGGCGTTACAATTCTCCCCCACAATCTCCCACTGTCTCAGACTTCGTCCTCGAAGTCTGCTGCTGCTGCATCTGAAAACAACTCCGAGTAATGCCCCCATCTCCTCTTCAGACTCCCACGTCCACTCTGAACCCTTCCGGTGCTGCCACTGCACCTTTCACTAACTGAACCACCTTGTTCCTCAAGGTCTTCGCCTTTCGATCTAAGATCGCAACTGGTCTCTCGATATAATTCAGGCTGCTATCAACCTGAATATCCTCCATGGGTACTACTGCTGACTCGTCCACCAAACACTTCCTCAACTGAGAAACATGGAAAGTGTTGTGGATCTGGCTAAGCTCTGCCGGGAGATCCAATCGATAGGCGACCCGACCCACCCGGGTCAAAACTCTAAAAGGGCCAATGAACCTGGGGCCCAGCTTGCCCCTCTTTCGGAATCTGATGACACCCTTCCAGGGTGATACCTTCAGGAGGACCATGTCACCCACCTGAAACTCCAACTCGGATCGGCGTTTGTCGGCATAACTCTTCTGCCGACTCTGAGCGGTCTGCAAACGTTGTCTAACCTGCTGGATCTTTTCGGTAGTCTGCAAGACTACCTCCTTACTACCCATCACCCTGTGCCCAACTTCGCCCCAACAAACCGGTGTGCGACATCTCCGCCTGTACAACATCTCGAATGGCGGGGCGCCAAGGCTAGAATGATAGCTGTTGTTGTAGGTGAACTCCGCAAGCGGTAGGTGAGAATCCCAGCTCCCACCGAAATCAATGACACATCCCGCACATGTCCTCGAGGGTCTGAATAGTCCGCTCGCTCTGGCCATCTGTCTGCGAGTGGAATGCTGTGCTGAAGTGCAATCGCGTGCCCAGCTCCTCATGAAACTTTTGCCAGAAGCGGGAGGTAAACCTGACATCCCGATCTGAGACAATGGAGACAGGAACCCCATGGCGAGACACAATCTCCCGAACGTACAATTCGGCCAATTTCGCGGCCGATGAGCCCTCTCGTATAGCCAAGAAATGGGCGCTCTTGGTCAATCGATCCACGATGACCCATATAGCATCAAACCCCTTTGCCGTCTTCGGCAATTTGGTAATAAAATCCATCGTGATCTGTTCCCATTTTCCACATGGGAATCTCTAGGGGCTGCAGCTTTCCATGCGGCCACTGATGCTCGGCCTTGACCATCCTACAGGTCAAGCACCTCTCAACGTACCAAGCGATTTCCCGCTTCATGCACGGCCACCAATGCTCAAACTCAAATCCCATAAATCCATCTTGGTAGCCCCCGGGTGAATAGAGAAATGAGACTTATGAGCCTCCTCCATAACCGTCTGCTTAACCCACCCGTCATTGGAACCCAAACCCGACCGCATCGGGTTAATAGTCCCCCGACTATCCTGCACAAACCGGGTGTTTTCTCGCCCTTGATCCTCTCCAGCTTCCAATTTTCCGGGCGGATGCCCGCCCTCAACCTGGGCATCTCTGATCAAACTCACCAGCGGAGAATCCACCGCTATCCTCATACATACGCTGGGGTGGAAGACCCCGCTGACTTGCGGCTAAAGCGTCCGCCACTACATTCGCTTTACCCAAGATGGTAAAGGATCTCGCAATCGTAGTCCTTGACTACGTCCAGCACCTGACCTTCCCTGTTGCCTGTTCAGGTTCGGCTCCATGATATGTCTCAAGCTCTTGTGATCAGTGTAAATGGTACAACGGACCCCATAGAGGTAGTGTCTCCATATCTTGAGGGCGAACACCACCGCCCCCAGTTCCAAGTCATGCGTAGGGTATCTCGTCTCATGCGGCTTCAGCTGCCGCGATGCGTAGGCTATCACTCGTCCTCTCTGCATGAGGACCGCCCCTAAACCTGTGATGGATGCATCACAGAACACCACAAAATCCTCGACTCCCTCCGGGAGTGTCAATTGCTCGAGCTGCGCCCACATGCTGACGGCGACAAACGCCCTCTGCTGCTAATCGGGACCCTCGGAAATCCACTCCCTGTCAGAGTGAGGGGCACTGCAATCTTGGAGAAGTCTCGTATGAACCTCCGGTATACCATCCCGCCAACCCCAGAAAGCTCCTAATATCTGAGGG